TTTTTTTTTCAGTCATGGAATATAATAATATTTTTCAACTTTTCAACTATGATCTTTAAGTCACTTGGTATATCATTACAACTATACTAATTTTAGTAGAAAAAACATTTTAAAAAAAATGTAGATGCATTTAAATCTAATATTGAATACAGGGATTTCTAACTATGACCATTTAAAGTTTTACCGGTAAGGGTAAAATTGTTTTGGTTGTGTCTGCATAAATTGTGTGACGCTTCGTTTCTCTTGTTTAAACTTTAAAATTTGAATATTTGAGRATGGTCACATAAACCGCATTTTTACGTTGATATAATTTACATTTGCGTATTTATATGCAGTCACTCAAAATTATAGTAATTTATTGAAACCAATAATTAATTTACACAGACATAAGTAATACGACGCTATAAAAATATTAGTTAGCACCAAAATAGAATATARTTATTATAMTATTACACATTATAATAATTATTATCAGTTTTAAATTATAAAAAAACATTAGTTTTAGTGRTGGATTGTTRATTTTRGTTTTAGTAAAAGAAGTCCAAGTGTTTTATATAATAAAGTGTAATGGAATCACTACTAAGGAAATGAATAACGAATTAACATTAATAGTCTTACAGCCAAACCAAAATCGATTAAAAATATTTGAATAAAACCCTATTCTTAATATCAATTTTTAAATATTAATTTCAATGACTCAAATAATTTCTAGCAAAATGTACTGTTAACTAATTTAATCTTTTGTACAATAAAATGATTTGTATAACATATTTAAACATAATAAATAATAATTAAACAGTATTTTAATTGGCTCAACATTGAATAAATCATTAAGATATTTTAGATATTTTACTATGTGTATTATATCTATAAATTGTTCATCATTAGAGATTGAATTCAAAATTTATAACAACAAGTGAAAATAATGAACTTTAATTTAATTATATTCAACATAGAGGAAATAATTTTTAAATTTCCGCAGTATAATGATGGAAGGTTACAAATTTAGCATCAGAAGAATAATATGACGTATAATACAATCAGGGTCTAATCTACATCTTAGGCAACGACTCTGATACTATTATAATTCTGAATAAATTTTTATTTTCATCATAAATATTTTAGATTCTGAGCGGAGTGAGGAATGTATTGATTTTACCATGATGTGTTATTTTTTTGTGTCTGTCATCACGTTTTGGAACAGTAAAAGTGCTTCGATTTTTTACTTCGGTACTTCGTTCGATCAGAAAGTGAATCTTGTTGGTACTTTGGGGGGTCAAAAGTAAAACATTCTCAATAATTGTCTAAATAATCGGAATAAACAAACTAAAAATTAAGGGGAAAACGGGAAATTTTAYGCTCAATCAGTTTTCAAAAAAATCAATTTTGGTTTTTGATGTAACTTTAAAACAAATGACCATAGATACATGAAATTTTCACTCAATGTTAATATAAGTATATTCTATACACCATACAATTTTCAAAAAATTTCGA